TATTTTTGACGAGGTCATGAAAAGGATTAGCTGTTTTCACACATAGTTTAATCAAGATTAAAAATCGGCTGATCACTGAAGTTACTGTTTGAGGAGCAAACTTCAAAAAATATTTGCTCCACATCAAACCGTCTAAATTGATTCTTTCTATGAATCATCTAATAAGGCTTAAATTGAGGTTTTAGAGAATGCCACATTTATCACTTGGCTCCAAAAATTGAACGAGATATGGTTCCACGAAGTGCGCGGAAAATCGGCCGATCACCGAGAGCTCACGTTATCCTCACGAATCATCACGTTCGGCAACGGGACGGCGGCATGCGCAATACACCCCACCAGTAAAGTTCACCTTTCAAAGTGGAGCAATCTCTTGGCACCCCCCCACCTGCCACATAGGCGAACTTTGAGCCGCCCACAACGACCCCATTCTTTGTTGATATGAAAACAGGTCGGGGGGGGTCAGGGAGGGACAGGGAGGCCAAATGCTGTTCTCACGTGGACATCTGCTCAACAAACCAACGCTTCTTCCACTTGTTGCGTCGACGTGGGAGCCTCCGTTTGTCGTGGCAATGCCAGTGGCGCTTATCACCACATCACGCTCGGTCACCCTACAAGCCTCTTGAACGTGTCCACAGCCGGTTTTCATTCGTCGACACGTCTGCGAAGAGTTCGAGGACAAGGTTCACTGCAACAAGCGTCTTTTACGACATCTGCATCACCTGGGGTCATGCGCGCAAAGCATACAAAATGGCATGGGAATTGGTTCGATGTTGTGCCTAGGTTGGGCCAATCACTCGCCGGTAGCAAGCAGATAACGTCCACGGTGGGCTTCATCGTGCCGATGGACGTCCAGCCATCCAATCCGTCGTGCAAGCGATTGGTGTGCGCGTTGAAGTGTTCCTGTTCCCGAACGGCGTCAACGCATCCGCTGCCTTGGTGCCGCCGTGACCTTTCAAATTGTATCTTGTCCTCAGTAGCGGTTTCTCGAACCGGCTTTTCAGATCTCAAATTCTGGCAAGCGGACGGAATGGCGAATCGCCAGAACATCCAGTGCTGCGCATACGTGTCGATCGCAGGCGTCCTGTTTCTGTCAGCGCTCGGGGGATTGCTTCACCTCCAGCCAGAATACATTCGTGGGCTGACGCACGCCGTGCCAAAGCAGAAGCTCGCTTTGAATTGCTGGATTGGGGCCGGTCTGTACGCCGCGGCGTGGGTCGTTTGCTTCGCCACGTTAACAATCCAAGCACGACACGAAGCCAGGTTCAAGAAAAAGTCGTACGACCTCCGAGAACTCCGCCGCACACTGTCGTCGTGGGATGACCTGGGCATGCCACCGCGCCTGGAAAAACACGATGTCATGCCACCGGACCACGACGATTCCGGAGACCATCAGGAGGGGCAGGGCCAAGAGACTGCCAAATAAACATTGGATCCTTGAATTCACTCGATCTGATCTTGTGTGGTGTGGGATGAGAACATGCAACCGACGGCATGGCCAAAGGAAACGATCGACGCGACGGACGGCGCTTCGAACGCGCCCGCGTGTGGAATCAACTTGAGAGCTGGCTATGCAAATCAACATTGTCAGGTTTTCACACAACGCTCTTCAAGGCGGTGCTGAAGAAGGCACTCTACGTCCAAACTAAATGCGGCGGAATGCGATGCCCGCCTTGACCAGTTAAGCTCAACCATCCAATATCAACATCTTGCGCGACAACTTGACTCGAGGTGTCAAGAAGCCACATGGGAGCGCGATCGGGCACTCGAGCGTGTCCCAGATTCGATAAAACATGGCCTCACCCAATTGCTCCAACCTGGTGCATGCACGTCAAGCGGCAGAATCGCCACGTCAGCCTCGAGACCATAATGCTGTTGATCTCTGGCTGCGATCAGTTCAATGCACCAATGATGCGGCCAGCATTCACCATTGGCGCCGGAATCGACGAAAGGTAGTTATTTACATGAAGGGCTTTACTTGCTAGCGCACGTGCGCCTTGCATCTTAGCACTTGTAGACCAAGATCCCAATCTCGCCAACGTACATGTACAACATGTGCCGCTGCTGGTAGCTGATGTCGAATCCGTACCCCTCGCCAATGAAGCAGTGCCAAAACGACCCGAACTTTTTATCCATGCTTTGCTTGATGAGTTGGGCAGCTGCTTCATAGTTCTTGAGTGGCACGTGCTTGTCCACGGCCATTGTGATGATCTCGATCGTTTCCGTGCACACTTCGGACGTCATGTCGTTGAACTTCATGTGCGGACGAGATGAGATCTTCCTGTACTCGGCATCGGACAGCTCACTCCCGAGCACGTCGCCCTTCGCTGGCTCCGGCATCCTGTTCTTGACGCTGTGTTTGCTGTGTCGGAAAAGATCTTGAAGGGACGCGCAGTTGGTCCTTGGTATCCGGATACGCCAAGAACGTCTGAAACGATCGCCGCTTGACTTCTGTGAGCTGACCGACATGTCGCGCGCTGAATTTGAGTCACGCACGTGAGCGCAACGGGGTAGAAAAGGTTGGTGCGCTAGGCGCCGACTGTCGCCAAGAGTACAGGGCGGCGTTTCAGCGTGCGGTAGAGAATGAACTACTTCACGTCAGAAAACGCTGCGATAGTCGCCAGCGCCGAGAGTATTAATCACCCCAAACCAAGTGTGCTGCTCGGAGATGGGGGGATTTATTGATGGGCGACTTCGCCCAGGTCGGAGTCGTCTGTGCTTGGTCCAACACAATCGGCATGGACTGAAGTTGGGATTATGTTGGAAACAGGGTCGTTTAAAAAAGTGAGTGGATCAATCGCCCTTTCGTGGCTTGGGCTTGCGCGGGCTCGAGCTGCCGTCGCTTTCGACTAAACTGTGCATTTCGTCGCTGTGCATGACCTTTGCTTTCATGAGCTGGGTCTTAATGGCTGAGATGACGCCGCCGCTGACCGCGCCGCGGACCTTTAAGTCGGTGCCGTCGTCTTCGTCCGAGCTCTTCTTGAGAGGGTCGCACTCGTCGCTCGATGACACGACCTTGACCCCGTAGCGCAAGTGCTTGGATTCGTTGTGCGCCCGCAGCGCATACACGCATCCACCCAAGCACAGCGCGTACATCACGGCGGCGACTGCGCAGCTCGAATGCAGGTCGTGCTTGTCGTGGTGGTGGAGACCTCGTATATACTCTGGCTGCTTGCTGAGCATGATCGACATCAGAGACAGGTATATCACGCCTGCCGCGGACAGACCGGAGCAGCACCTCAAGCACCCCTCTTTCATGCTCGTCGTCGGTCGTCCGTTTGCCGAGTGCGAGCGACGAAACGACTCGATCTTGCCTAAAAACAGAACGAGGGGGCGGTTTCAGCTCATGTGAAAAGAATCCCCAAAAAATGATTTTCATTAATTAACAAGTTAAGCAACAACAGGTGCCTTGATGAGACATACTAGTATATCACGCATCGAGTGCAGCTGACGTGGAACAAGTAGAATCGTCCCATGTCGTGTGGCGCTTGATAGTGCCGTGCTCGTTGCACGTGGCTGCTTTTGAAGTGTGGGGGGGAAGACTTTACTTGATGCGTGATGGTGTGTCGCACCAAGCTCGAGGTACCTGGTCGATTGACTTTGTTGTTAATTAATGAGAATCATTTTTTGGGCATTCTTTTCACCAGTGCCGCGGTTTCGCCATGCTGTTGCCAAGTCCTCTCGCCCCATGTCGCATCACACCGCGATGACTCTGGAGAGAGCGCAATGAATGCGCGCAACGCTTGCATGTGTACACATCAGTTGGGCAACCAAGCCGCCGCTTCACCACCGCATGCTACGCGTTCTTTGCTTGCAATCTTCATACTCCCGGAGTATGTGACGCCGGTTCGGATACACATCCACCTCGTTATCCGGAAGAATGGAATTGTACAGGCGCATTGCCGAGCGTAGACGGCGGCAACGCGCTGCGTCGGATGCATGCTCCAAAACTTCCCTGGTTGCGAACGCGTGATGCGTCGCGACGTCCTGCGCCACGAATCCTTGCCGCATCGTCTTTGTCCGTTGACGTAAGCATGGGTAGTTGACGTGTCCGGATAACATCCGAAAGTCCTGGTTGCGGTATCTTGGAACTACCGCCGTCGCCGCCAACTTCAGACGTCGGATGGCAAGGGTCCATCCGTCGCAGCTGCCGGTGCTGGTCGCATCCAACCATTTGCCAGTGCTACTTGTAAAAACTGGCGATGGCAAGTACACTGCCACGTGGCATGGAGATCGCCTCCTCGCTTTCACGATGGCGTTTTCCCATCAAGACTTGTTTCGACCATGCCGGCGTAAGATTCGCTTCCTTGGCCGCGTGGAGCAAGCTGTGCCGATACAAGACCGACCTGCCGTTGTTGAGGTACCAATTGTAAACCGTGGTTTGTGTTTCATCGTTCGCTGGCTTGCCACGTAGGCTTGCGCCGCGGTCAACTGCATTCCCGTGTTTCCCAGCCCAGACACAGATGTGTCCTCCTACGATGCATTTTGCAGTGGCCCATAGCGCTCAGTGTTTCATAATATGGTGCATCCGTCGACGTTGATCTGCCCATCCCACGTAGGTACGCTAACTGCGAAATGGACCATTATGCGTACACAGCAGGTTGTTCACACGTCAGCAACCGATCCGTGGCCAGCCTTCCTCGCCATGAGCAAAGACTTTGCGACGGCCATTGCCAAAGCGTATGCTGCAGGTGACATCCTGTGGCTGCAGGACTATGACTTGGTCATGGTGCCACACTTCCTCAACCGCACGTTCCCGCGCGGCACGACAGTGTTCGCGGTCGGGC